TTTTTCTTTTTTTTTTTTTTTTTTAATTTAATGCGAAAGCCACCATTATTGGACGACGGGATTGGATATCAATGGTGTTGTGCACACCGAATTCGAACATTTCAGATCTTCAACACAGACAACTCAACCAATAACTAGCCCAGGGTTGGAGGGTTCTGACCTAGCATCTTGGTGAGTAAGCGCTCCGTTCTCACCCTCAAGGCTGCCACCTGCAACTTGATTTGAGTAAGATCTGGTGCTGATTCATTCGTGGTTGAACTTGAAGCTCGACTTCTCATGGTCGGCGTATCTGACATAGCAGTAGTACATGTGGTTGGAATGCTCCTGTTATCCTTGCAAACAATGTCATGGTCGGTTTGCGATCTGTCGGCCTCGTCGTGGCCGGCGGATGCTTCAGTGTCCTGGTCGAGCGTCGAGCGATTTCGCTTGCCTTGAACCCACGCCCTCACAACTTCAAGCTTAACACCTGGATGCTCCATAAAGTCCCCAATGACCCCAGTCGATTTGCACTTTTCACAAATGTCAGGAAACACATGCAAGTTGTCGTTGATATGGTTATCACAAATTTGATGGATGTTAGTAGTCACATTGCCGGCCAAAATTTTGTCCACCATGTCTGCACATTGCACGATGGTTTTGATTTTGGCATGTCCGCAAAGGTGGTAGATGGTGTGTATTTCGCACATGCTGTAGTGGCATCGGCCAACAGGAAAGCAATGTCCGGAATACAGGTGGGAAGATAGTCTTGATGGGCATCATATGTAATCCTCTCTCGACCAAGATGGAGATCTTGTACTTTGGGGAGACTGGGTACAACATACCTTGGACAATGAATTCCCATCTTGGGTCCCTTTGTTGGCACGAGTCAATTTTAGAATCTCTCCTTTGCTCCATGATAAAACAATCTGCATCTTTGTTCAGGTTTCTTTATGACCATGAGATTACAGTCAAAGGCCAACGAGACGCGGATATGTGAGACACACGGTCCTACATCTATCCTGTCTTCATGTTCTTCCCAAGTCATGGACGGAGATCGGGGGGCAGTGGCTAATAACGAGGCTGACTTGACTGGCTGGTGATAAGGCTGAGTGAATAATCCGATAACGTCGACCCATGTCTGACTGCGCATTGGGGGCCTTTGGGCCTTTGACCGCCGAGACTGCCTATCAGCTTCTAGTCCTCCTTCCAAAGGAAATGATTAAGCTGTTCCTTCTTGTCGCAGGTGAAGGTCTTAAAGGGTTGGCTGGCTGGATAAGTGAAGGCGCGGACGGGCTTATGGTTTTAGGCAGTGGCAATCCCTACCGAGTACAGGCCATGACATAAGTGGCGCTTGGAGGCGAATCTGGGGTTGAACTTGGCATGGTCTGCTAAGGGCTTGGTGGAGTCAAGCTTTTTGCCCTCCTGGCGCTACCAGTCCTCGTCGGTTTCTTTTCACGATGCTACTCTTACGATCCACTATCTCCTGGTTTGTGCGGGCCATCTATCCTCCACTCAATGCTTCGAGTTTCTCTTTCTAGTCAAGTGTCGATCATGTCCGTTTCCCAGCCTTTTTAGCTTGTCTGCGTGGTGGATGGGTGAAGACCCTGATCGTTTCCCTGGTGCGTCGAGAACTGGAACTCGCTGATTAGGTCGCCGGCGCTGACGTACATGCTTATGAGTTGATTGAAATCATGCACGCCCTTCGCCCTCCTCCTCCTGCTCTACTCAAAATCCCCTCGCGCCGCCCACTCCTCCACCTTTCGGGTCTCTTCAACACCACCAACCTCCACCTCGAAACATCTGCACCACAACCACCATGGCTGATGTACGTCGACAGTCAAGGACTCCGCGGAGGAGGACCAGTATCCAAGAAGATGCTGCCATGCTGGCGGGAATGGGTGTGAAGCAGGAATTGCAACGCAATTTCTCCTTTCTGTCCATGCTGGGACTGGCTTTTGCCATCCTCAACTCATGGACAGCCTTGGGGGCAAGTATGTCGCTGGCTCTGCCTAGTGGAGGCCCTGACTCTGTCATCTGGGGCCTTGTTGTTGCTGGCATTTGCAATTTATGCCTCGCCGCCTCTCTGGCTGAATTTCTCTCAGCGTACCCAACTGCGGGAGGCCAGTACCATTGGGTCGCCGTCATCAGCTGGAAGCGCTGGGTTCCGCTGCTCTCCTGGATCACCGGTTGGATCAATACGGCAGGTTGGGTAGCTTTAACAGCCACTGCCGGACTGTTGGGAAGTCAGCTCATCCTTGGCATCATTTCGCTCACGACGCCGTCTTATGAGCCGCACCGTTGGCACCAGTTCTTGATCTACATTGGATATAATGTTTTCGCCTTTATGGTGAATGCGTTCATAACGCGACTACTTCCCCTCGTCAACAAGGCTGCCTTGATCTGGTCCATTACAGGCTGGGTGGTGATTTCCATCACGATCCTTGCGTGCTCATCTCCAAATTACCAGGGTGGAGACTTCGTGTACCGAACGTTCATCAATGAAACGGGTTGGCCGAATGGCCTCGCTTGGCTGTTAGGTCTCTTACAAGGTGGTCTGGGGTTGACAGGATTTGACGCAGTCGCTCATTGCATAGAAGAGGTGGGAAATCCTACTGTGCTGGGTCCTCGGATCATGATTGGCTGTGTATTGATTGGCGTTTTGACCGGCTTCATTTACCTGAGCGTTCTTTTATTCGTCTCCAAGAACGTGGACGATGTTATCAGCTCTTCGGCGGGGCCGATGTTGCAAATATTCTACGACGCAACTTCGAATAAAGCCGGATCGGTCTGTCTATTGATGTTTCCGCTCGTATGCTTGCTGGTAAGTTCATCAGAGTCAATCCGGCACCGTCATTGAAATGGCTAACATTCGGCCAAGTTTGCCGCAGTGAGCATCATGACCACCAGCAGCCGAATGGTGTACGCCTTTGCTAGAGATGGGGGATTGCCGGCCTCGCGCTTCTTCGCCAGAGTGCATGGAAGACTTCAAGTCCCCCTGAATGCGCTATGGTTGACCCTCATTTTGGTCATCATATTCGGCTGCATATTTCTTGGATCAAGCAGCGCTTTTAACGCCATTGTATCCGCTTCAGTGGTGGCTTTGGGAGTCACTTATGCTATCCCACCTGCAATCAATTGTCTCCAGGGTCGAAAAATGCTGCCGGCATCTCGTCCGTTTGTACTGCCAACTTGGCTCGGCTGGACGTGCAACTTGGTAAGCCTGTCTTGAATCCAACGGTTCTAATCTCTAACAACATGACAGGTTGGAATTGCCTATGTGATACTCACGACCGTCCTTTTCATGTTCCCACCAGAGTTGCCTGTGACCGGAAGCAACATGAATTACTGCATAGCAGCTTTTGCCATTGTCTTGATTGTCTCCACCATCCAATGGTTCGTCGATGGCAGAAAGAACTACTCTGGTCCACAGATTGACCTTGATGCTCTGAAGGCTGGGGAGATTGTGGGTATGGCCCCAGAAGAGAGTAACCAAGCCAGAGCCAGTGACGATACGTTGTCCGGAGAGCAGGATAAGAAGGTGGTGCCGTAACCTTGAATTTTTTTAATTGTTTTTTTAAGCACAGTCTAGACAATTTCATTGGTTTGTGGTCACGAAGCAACCGTCAAGACCTTGTAGCATTGTCCGAGACTGATTCTGATCTCGACAATTAATCTGGCCATTCCGGGTCTTCCTTCCTTTGGAACACAGCGACGAACTTCCTTCCACCATTCCTCGTGACTTTTTTAGACTCTTCTGTTTCCTCGCTCATGACCTTGACGCAAGGGTCTGAGTCCAGATCGTCCTGCGATACTCGCTTCCACAAGTCCCTTGCATCACCGGCCTCCTCACCGTCAAAGTGCTTGACCATCCAGTGATGCAGCTCTTCAACATCCGTAATGGTATACACTAGACCACCAGGCTTTGTGACGAACGCATACTCGGCGTTGAGCTGTGCAGAAACAATCCGAGCCTTGTGCTTCCGCTGTTTGAAGTGCGGATCTGGGAAGCAGAGGAATATCTTGGACAGCTGGGCGCTGTGGAAGTAGTTTGGAAGAAACTTCATGGTGTTTGTGCGAAGAGCCGAAATATTCTGGTAGAGTCCAACTCTGCTGTCACTTGTGCCGGACAGAGTCTGGTTCTGTGTGCGTAGAGCAGCTATTCGGTCGACTACGTAGTCGGTGACTTGACTCCGCAACTCCATGCCTAGTGAGTTTTCTCCTTCAGCAAAACAGACGGGATTCGGGACATGGAGAGTGCGAACCAAGCATCAAGGTCTCTGATAACAAAGGTGACAAAGCTACCAGAAGCCCGCCGAATCCGCAGCCGATATCCGCAACCTCCACTTCCCTGGTCATCGCGCCGCCGTGTTTGCCATCTTGCGTCTGGCCGATTGCGAAAGCAGGGTAATGGCGAGTCCAGTCCATATCGGCAGGACTGGTAGGACTTGAAGAGAATCAGTCCTGCCACCCAGTCAAGCGAGACCAGGCACTTACTATGTCAAAGCATGGTCCGAAAAGGGATTTGCGTGCGCGCGCTGTCGATAGAACTTTTTCTTGGGCAGTTCGATCTTGCCGCCCCCTGTAGCACCATCGCTCCCAGCCCGCAAGCTTTCTTGGGCTCTCTTGTAATCTTCGCGTTTCTGCCGTTTGTTCGCGGGACCTGTCATGATCTGTTATTGGCAATGAGACACAATCTCCGTGTTAGCGGTGACAGAGCAACAATCTCATGGTCAAGTGTTGAAGATCTGGTGCAAATATACGGGGAGGTCAATTAGTCAAAGGCTTGGCAATGCCCCATCCATTTTTCATTTACGATGATTACACGCAGAAGTGATTCACACACAAGGGATGTGATATTGAATGCTAAAAGGTAGAGTAATACTATTCTTGTTTTTCTTATCGTCTGGTCTGTCAATGGCTCAGGCATAGCAGATCACGTTGGCCAAGAGAGGCACAACGTGAACCAGTTTCCCGCGACCAGCGGTGATATGGTTATTCTGCTACTGAATAGTTAAGTTATCGAGGAGAAAAGGAGCAACATGCGCCCTGCCGCCGCTCAAAGTTGGGTGCAGAGGTACCTATCTTACTTCTCATTTCGCCGGTAGAACCACCATTCGGACTCTTCTCTTTCCCTTGTCTCTTGCACCACTCTTCTCTTCCGAGCTCACTCGAACCTTTAGTTGCTGAAACAGCTCAACTGTGACCCCATCTTGTTCGTGGCCCTTCTCGAAGACCGTGAGCTGGTACGACTCTCCGTCAAACTTGCTCTCACGTTTGAAGGCCTCGGCGGAATTCAAGTGGAAATCCTCAAGTCGAACCAGTCCTTCGATGCCGAATTGCGGCACGAAGACCACCATACCGTTTTCGAACACTCGCATCACATACCCGTCGACATCGATGGCAGCTTTTGGTGATTTCTCAGCTCGTGCTTTGAGTGCCTGCCCGACGTAGTACTCGATACTGGCGCGGCCTGCTAGTTGAGCATTTCGATGACGGAAATTGAGATTCTGACAGACTCGCTCCAACTTGCGCTTGTTTCGAAGGTCAAAGTCGACGACTTCGCTCCCTTGGCCATCATATCCAATTGCATACGCCAACTGACGGTGGACAAGCAGATCAGCATACCGGCGAATGGGGCTTGTAAAATGGGTGTAGATCTCACTAGCGAGACCATAATGTCGGTATTCCGGTTCTGCATGTGATCCGCTGCAGAAGTATTCAGCCGACGTCATACATCGTGTGGCCATGATTCGAATCAAGGTGTTGAAGAATGGATGCTTAGGATCCACACAAAGATCCAATGAATCTGCAAGTGCCTTTGAACTTGACACGTCCAGTTCAAACCCACGCATCTTCTTCAACTGCTCACTGAGGTTTGAAAAATTCGAGGCTGGGGGTGTCGCATGTCGGCGCAGCAAAGCAGTTTGAGGGAAGACCGACTGGATCTTCCTTGCAACCGTGATGTTGGCAAGAAGCATAAATTCTTCGACCAGAGAGTTAGTGGCCAAACTCGCCTTGGTCTTCACATCGGCAAGAGAATCCGGAGATTCGCTGTCTGCTTCAATTCTGACTTCAGGGCTGGACAGGTTCAACGCTCCAGCGTCCATCCTCTTCTGACGAAGCTTTTGGGAGAGCGACAACAAGACCCGCATGCCTTGGGTCAGCTCATCCGTTGCACTTGGGTCGTCAATGCGTTTCTGAGCTTGTTCATAGGAGAAGCTCTCCTTGGACAAAATCACAGATTTGGTGAATGAAGATGTTACCACCTCGGCATCTGGTGTGATCTCCCATATGGTGGAGAATGCGTATCTTTCCACATGGGGTTTGAGGGAGCACAGATCCGTCCCGAGCAACATAGGCAACATATCAATCCTCTTATCGACCAGGTAGACGGTTGTACCACGAGCGGAAGCCTCGGCGTCCATCGCATTATTAGGTTTGACAAAATGGGAAACATCTGCAATATGAACGCCCACTTCAAAGTTTCCATTCGAAAGCTTTCTTGCATGGAGGGCGTCATCGATGTCTTGACATCCAGGAGGGTCGATCGAGCACACAGATAGATGTCGGAGATCTTGACGGCCCTGCCAGCCAGGATCTGACAAAGCAGACGGGACCCTCCAGGAGTGACCCTCTGTAGGCAGACAGTCCAAAACTGTCTTTGGAAATGGTCGGTACTGGACGTCATATTCAAGAAGCAACGCCTCAGTTTCGGCATCCTTGGTCTCTAGTTCTCCGAGGGAGCGAATGTAGTGCCCAATTGGATACCTGGTGTCTCGATCCCATGAATCAATCGTTGCAAGAATCCGCTTGCCTATCAACTCATCAACCTGACGTGTCCGAATTCGAATTTTGGGAATGCGCTTGTCCATTGGAATCAAAAAGACAGTGGTCTGTCTGTTTCCAGACGTGCTACCAGACGCCGTGTCGATGGTTCCGACCAGCTGTCTCCAATTTCTTTTGATAACCCCGACTACTTTGCAGGTTGGTTGAGCCTTTGTCTCTGCACCGGCAATGTGTGCACGGCGAACCTCTTCCTGGAGAGCACGTCTCTCATTCTCCGTAACCACGGTCTCCTCTTGTTCCTCGTCCTCCGGATTGTCGTTTTTATTGATCGTTTCCTCGTCAAGGATTTGAGTCGAAGGGGCTTTCCACTGGTCTTTTGGCAGAATCTCAACCACGACGACATCGCCAGATATAGATCGATTACTGCTCTCCCTTCCAAGAACCAGTAATGGCTTGTCAAATGCGGGGACTTTCACTGTTCCTTCCAAGTAGTTGTAGGGAGAAACATTGAAAACCCCTTGATGTAAAGTTCCAGCCTTGATTCCTGTCATCGTCCTTGACATGGAGTAATACTCTGGATAGAAGAGCTGCCCCTGGGCAGCGCGGACTTCTTGAGCATCGGCACCTTGGCTTACCATGTCGAGTAATCGATCGGCATCATCTAATCCCTCGACATATTCCCGGAGTGATAGAGCTATCAAATTCTCTGCCTGTGCCTTTCTTCTATTCTCCTGATCATTGGTGAGGACGACGATTGTTGGGGCTTTCTTGGTCACTTTCGATAGATGGTCAGTGTACCATTGTGCCGCTCTTCTCACAGCACGATCGTTCCGGTCATTGATAGACTCGCCACTCTCACGTCGTACCGCGGTCTCCAGATGGAATTCGTTGAAGAAAAGATAGAAACGCTTGTCATCACTTTGCACCAACGCCATCAGCCTGTTGTAAAGAGGAAGACTCCTATTCTTCAACTCTTCTAGAACCGTCTGCAATACAATAACGTCGTGAAAGTGAGCAGGTTCTTCAAGGAGGTCCATTGCGCTAAGCAAGACATTGGTATCGGGAACAAGGTAGTGGCCGTGGGTAAAGGTTTTGGTGCCGATCGGTCGCTTCGATAGGACAAAGTTGGGGACTGATGTTCCTGTCAGTGTATGAAGGATGTATCACGTAGAAAAACGAGCACATACCAGCTCCATTGGCGTCGGGCGCGGCAGTGGAAGCGCAAGCAGTACACAATTGCGACGAACAGGGTATGTCTTTTCTCAGATACTGTTCTCTCACGACTTTCTGGACTCGACCGCTTTTGGTCGACCGAATAAAGACTTTGCTGGAAATATTGCCAGCAGTTGCATCAGCGGCGAGGCCTCGCTTGAGACTTTTCATCTCGGCTGCCTCGTATCCGCGAACGCTACAAATGAAGGGCGAAGGAAGGGTGCGAGCTCGAAGTACTGAAGGCTACTTGAAATTGTCGAAAGTTCCCCCCTACATCCTTGTGTGAAGATTGCGCTATGGCAGTGAACACTCCACAGAATGTCTCTTACGGCGAGGTTTTCAAGCTCCGTTTGCGAACTCAGGCCGAAAAAGCAACCCACCTTGAAAGGACGGGGGATCATCAATTCCATCCCGCCGGCTCCCCGCGCAGTGCTACTGGTCTACGGAGGAGACGGTACTTCGGACCTGATCCCAAATGGCACCTGCGTTTGTCCGACATTATGGATCTTCTTTGCTTGCTTGAGTTCTTGGAGGTTCTGGGCCGCATGCTGTGCCATCGTGAGGCCTGTCTTCATCATGGGATACGATCCACTCGGTTCCCTCATTGGAGGCCGTTGTAGCTGAAAATCCTACCGCGAAGGAACTGGTATCTTTCCTCCATTCCCTTTTCACTACCTTCGAGTCTCTGTCTCTGGCTCGATCCCGCTAGCCAGACGAAGCTTTGTCTACTGCAGGTCATGAAATGATAGTGGGAGACATACACCATCATGTCTGAGAAACCACCATACGTTGTCCCACCTACAGCCGACTCGGCTTCTACTGCCCGTCCTGCGACGTTCATCTTTCTCCACGGTTATGGGGACGACGCCGAAGGCCTCCCATTGGGTCTTGCCCAACAGTTTCAGTTCTACAACAAGATGCAGTACTTGAAATGGGTCCTTCCGAATGCGCCGCACAACCACGAAGCCATGGCTCGAGCATGGTACGTCCCCAAAGCCCTCCCTAATGCGATGAAGCCTCGAGTCCCCGGCCACGAAGACGAGGAGGATGCCCTGGATGACGAGGCTGGAATTATGAAGAGCGTGGATATGATTGACCGACTTGTCGAGCAAGAGATCAAGGGTGGCACACCTCCAGAGAGGATTGTCGTCGGTGGATTCAGTCAAGGTTGCGCAGTGAGCCTGGTCTGGGGTTTGACGGGAAGACTCAAGGACAAAGTCGCCGGAATGCTCTGCTTGTCTGGGTATTTGCCCCTACGGGACCGAATATCGGAGCTGAGGAATGAGCGAGAGAATAAGGACGGAAAGGACAACAAGGACAACAAAAAATGGTTTTACGTCCACGGGACAATGGACATGTTGGTCCCTTCAAAATTCTTCGTGCAAGGTAAGGAAGAACTGGTCAAATGGGTTGAGAAGGACAATGTCGAAGAGCATTTATACCAGGGCATGGGACATTCCACTAGTTCGGCCGAGCTGAGGGATATGCTGGCATTTTTTGAAAAGGTCATTCCAGAGTGAAAGGCATTGTGACCTGCCGATCGACTGGTCCGGTTCATCATACAAAAAACCCCATGGGACTAATCCAGCAAGCATGGGTACTAAGCTGTGTGAAGATGTAGCATAAAAGATCGACTTCTGGAAGTAGACGGGTCCAGCTCTTTGTGCGACCCCATAAACCCCAGCAACCGTGGCTGATTGTTGATCCCCTGATCGTAAATCTCCTCAGATCTCTCCTAAATATTGATTTGGCTCCGATGCTGGCACCCGTGATATAACCTCACATTGTGCCACTTCAACGTGGGCAACTCTAGCAAATGCAAGCAATTTCGTTAGCAAACGTCTTTCCCTCACTGCTGGAATTTCGATGACCATGCGCCCTCTGCTGAAGACGGACGACTGACTTTGATCCATCCATGTCAAGCAGATTATGAGGCGATGGCTGCCTTTCCAGCGCCAGTCCTTCTTGCAGCAACGTTCTCCTATTTCCACACCACCCGAGTGTCTCGAGCCCAGGAAAAAGTCGACGAAAAGAGGAGCTGGCATCCCACACACCCCGCTAGGTGTGGCAAAACTTTCGTGACAGAATAGAGGCATAAAAAGAATGACAGGGAGAAAAAACAGAAGGAAGACGTACCGCTCCACATGATCCACAAGTCTTGCTCCCCGAAGATATTGACGCTCCACATTTAGGACACCCTGAGTGAGACATAGTGTAGCTTCTGAGAAGTGAGGTGTAGTCCTGAGACAAGAAGTAATGGCCTCTGAGATAGATGTGTTAATAATGTGCAGTGGACGTGACCAAGGGTGAAGTGAATTTTGATGTGAGGGGGGGGTTCAGTTCTCGAGTCTTACTGGTTTTATATTAGCTGATAGATGCCCCTCCATTAGCATCATCGCTTACTGTCGGACCGCCTTGTACTCGATACTCAACAATACATGGGAACCGCGACAGCCTACCAGTAGAATTAATCTGTCATGGTCAAAAGCCTAGGCTCACCATGTGCTTATGTAATTAAGAGTGCATCTATGTGTAGAAGATGTGTAGCTCCCTGGTGTATGGCAATGCTAATGTTAGTGAACCGCCCTGTCTTTTATCTTTAACCTTGTCCTATTGGGCCTAATGGGTTGTATTAGGAAAGGCACGGTCAACCATTGAAGAATTCTGCAGAGTAGATCTACCAGCTTCAATTCTTTACATCATGACAATGGAAGATTTCAACTTCTATCACCTCCTTGAATTTACATAACCAATTGCGATCCAGCATGGCACCCAGGGGCCTTCAGAATTCCGTCCCCAGTGAGGCAGGAAATCCGGGCAGAATACCCTAGGTGCATGGTTCTGTTCGTTAACTCATGTGGAGTCCTCCGGACTCAGTCCTTTGACGTCCGACTTTATCTCCTTTTGTTCCATTGGTCCTTGACTTCCCATGGCATTCTCTGAGGATTGAGAATTCTTTGATTCGCCAGCGACCACGCCATCAACCGTCTTCCTTCGACTGGATATCTCAACGAAGAACTCACGCCAGAATGTTCGAGTCTCCCATATGGGTAGAACTCCACAGATCCCAAGGGCACAAAACACCCAGATGAAGCTGACAGCGACATAGAATGTAAAGAACCCTTTAGTGTAGATGTAATGACTCAAGAACATCGGAATCGGAATGATGAAGTCCATGCTGACCGAAAGAACTGTCGCGAGAATCAGAGCCATATAGTAGGTGCGTTGGAGTGATTTCGGATTGTCAAGGAATGCAGCATCTTCGGCTTCTTCCTTCTCTTCGTCAATGACAGTCGGAAGTTCGGCGTTGTGATTTGGATTTGACAGCTCGTCCTTTGGTGCTTCACTTGTTTTTGTTTCAGCGATTCCAGTTGCAGCATCATCAGTCATCATATCTTGGACGTTTTGTGCCGGTACGACATTTCCATATAAAGATGTTTTGGCATTGATATCGCGTGTGATTGCCCAGTCAAAATCGTCCGGTTTGACCCAGGATACTAAACATGTAACAATGAGGCCGGTGAGGACTCCTGCCATGTTGCCTGCAAGGGTCGGATATGAGCCTCCAGTACTAGCAACGCTGAGCTCTCCATAATGGACTTTTGCTTCAACCAGCCACGCAGTCAGTCCAGCTGCAAGACCGCAAAGAGCGCCACTGATGGCTCCAGCGCGAGTTTGGCCTTTCCATGTCACAGCAAATGCAGCAGGGAAAACTGCACCGCCAATGAGCAGTCCCATGACGAGGAAAAGCCATCCAAGGTCGATGCCAATAGCGTTCCAGATACAGGCAAACGCTGCCATGACCAGGCCAAAGAAGCAGATCATCACATGCGACACGAAGATGAGATCTTTGGGAGTGGCATTCGGCTTGATGTACACCTTGTAGACATCAAACGTCAGAATTGATGATGTAGCAATCAATTCCGAGGATGATGAGGATGTTACGGCCATGAAGAGTGTGATAAGTAGACCAACAGCACCGTGCTTCCCGAGTAAAGCTGCAGCGCCGAAGGGAGCGGACAGTCCAGACGATATCTGAGATGAAGTCATCTTGTGTGGATAGGTAGGATAGGCTGGGTTGTCCGTGAGGGCCACTGCAGCAAGACCAAGAGTCGTGGCAAACCCAAACGGAATTGCATACCAAGCAAAACCTCCCATGATGTAGCCTCGGACCGCGGTAGTTGGACGGCTGGCGATAGCCCTTTGCCAGTAGCCTTGATCGAGAAAGACTGTACCCATGCCGGAGCAGAGCTGTATAACTCCGAATATCAAGCCATAGTTTGATTTCAGAGTGAGATATGAACCATTCTGGTTTCCTGCAACGGGTCGTACGTTTCCTGCATGAACGAGCAGGTCATACATCTTCCCAGGCGAGCCGATCAGATCATTAGAAGTATATACCTACCAATCCTCGTCAGCTTGATCTCGAGTCTGCTAAAGGGGGCGGACTCACGCTGAACATAAAGTATAAGATGACGACCATAACAATGATTGTATGAGAATAGTCGCAAAGGAATGTTGCTCGAAGTCCACCGAGGACAACATAGACACATACTCCAAGAGGAATGAGAAAGACAGCTGCATAGACATTCATTCCTGTCAATGAAGTGACAACTGCACTTCCTCCCAACAGTAGTTGTGATGCCACAAGGATGTTGGTCATCAATGCAAAACAGATGAAGATTATATGGGTAAGCTTTCCGTATCGATAGTATATAATCTCCAGGAATGTGTGACAACGTGGCGCGTTTTGTTTCAACTTGCATGCGAGGACCGAAAACATGAAGATCTGCACTGTTGCCCCTGCTGCATACCAGAAAGGGCCAGAGACTCCATATTCGTAGGTGACAGTACTGGACTGAAGTAATGTGGCCGCCCAAGTCCAAGCGGAAACGACTCCACTGGCAATGAGTCCAGGTTTGACACTTCGACTGGCTGTGTTGAATTCTTCGCTCATCTTGGTGGAATATTTGGTGTACCGGTTCTGCAGTTACTTAGTACAAGATCAGAGTCAAAACTGTTTCACGTACCTGGAGGTATGAAACACCTGCCATAACGAAGGCAAAGAAGAATCCAATTCCAATGACGACGCCATATCCGGCACCTTGCGGAAGGACGGGTTGGATAGCGCTGGACATGGTGATAGATACCGAGTAGTCAGTCTGGACGAGGTTTGATTTCAAAATGCAATGAATCAAGTCGAAGAAGACTTATATACATAATCACATGACGACAATAGTTCCTGGGATAACAATAGTATGGAGCCTCGACAATGATAAGTACCTCCCTGATAATTCGCTGGCTTGAAAGAGGATATCAGTCTCAGGTGTTACTCCATGATGCTATCAGGCCGCGGGTGGCACAAAGGTGAAAGCCTCTGACACTTATCTCCGCATGGAGGACGTAAAATCAGAATGATGGTGCCTTATCATGTTTGTTGGAAACATGTTTGAAGAGAATGAGAATGTCTTCTTCATGGGCCCTGCTGAATGCCCTGCTGATCCCTTGAGAGCTAAGTAGATTGTAGCACGGCTGACTCGGTTGTTCGTCAATATGGTAGTTGACACCGAGCAGGCGTTATCTCTTCGATGGCGAGACTGATTATGGTGCAAGCATTCTCATAGTAAAAATGCAAAGATATTGAGGCCACTGATCATTCCGGATTGCTGAACGGGTAGGGCACCACGAGCTCCCGTAATGAATAGCCAATGGCCGTTGCGGGATCCAGATTCTAGGATGATGCGGGTCATGAGATCCACTCAGAGAGAAGTCATATCGCGGTATGTTGTTTCGTTGCCTGAGATGTTTCTTACATGGGGAACAAGGTGTAATCAAGTCAAGGTGAATAACCTTAACCCCAAGTGGCTGAACTTGAACCTAAATCCCCCGATTGAGATTAGGGTAGGCCTATGGCGCGCAGATCATCAACCGTCATTGGATACTACGCCCACATATTTTGCAGATCTTCCGAAAGCCTATTATATAGCCCAGAAAGGCAACGGATATACGCGAGTCCCCTGCTCCATCAGACCCTCTTATGAAAACAGATAAGACATGTCTATTGGCTTCTCACTTTCCACCTCCAGGAAATCTAGCTCACCGTAGAAGCGCCCAGCTCCGAGTGATTCCTTATTTGAGCAGGAGAGCCTGAAACACCTAAGCTGGGGCTCTTGTGGAGCTCTATCGTGGGGATTGAATGATAAGAGAGATAAGGCTAACAGGTTGAAGTAAGTTATACACGACTGAACAGGTCTGAAGGCATCCAGGAATGTAAGGTCGGCTATAGAGCTGCTATTGTCTGAAATAAAGGACGGTGAACTTGTCTAGTCGCAAGGACACTTTGGCCGATTGTCACTCTCAGCTCGCCTTCGCAGTCCTATTTCATTCAAGATGTTCAGCCATACAATCACCTACTCACTCCGTAGAGCTTATACTGTCAAGAAGCTTTCTTCATTGACCCTGACTGGCTCTCGCCTATATGCGACCGTCAAACCTGCCCCTCTGGCAGACAAGCTCTCCGTCAACAGCGATCGATTATGGTAAGATAGAAGGGATGCAAAAGGAACCTGACTGACACAGCTACCAGGCGCGACATTCACTACACAGCTCAGTGGAGTGCACCCTCTCCGGGCGGTGTGACTCGACTCTGTGCGGATGAGAATGACAAGAAGGTCCGCGACTGGTTCAAAGAGCAACTTATTGAACTTGGAGCCGATTACAAAGTTAGTGTTCATCATTTCGAAATGGATTTGGCTTACAGAAATCAGGTCAATGCTACCGGTACTCAATTTGGGGTATTCGAGGGAGAGGACAACAGCATCCCCCCTATTGCTATGGGAAGTCATTTGGACACAGTCGCAACGGGTGGAAGATTTGATGGTCCTCTTGGAGTAAGACATCCCTGTCCGTCTACTCCGAGTCTCTAACATCTATCAGGTTCTCGGAGCCTTAGAAGTTATTCGAAGCTTCAAGGAGCAGGGTATCAAGACCAGAGCTCCGATAGTTCTCATCAACTGGACGAACGAAGAAGGAGCACGATTTTTTCCTTTGCTTGGATCATCTATCGTCTATGCCGGTCGCTCCACTGTGGAACAAGCCCATGCAGCAGCCTCGAACGACGCATCGGAATTGACCATGGGCAGCGAATTGAAGAAGATTGGTTACATCGGTGATGGACCAAATACATTCGAGGAGTTCCCCATCTCAGCGCACTTTGAAATCCACTGCGAACAGTCCACAGACCTGGAGAAGGCGGGTAAGCCTGTTGGATGGGTTGAAGGTTGGCAGGGAATGACTTGGTACGATGTCGTCTTCAATGGAGAAGACGGCCATGCCAATACCTACCCCATGTATGGCAGGCGAGATGCTCTGACCGGTGCAGCCAAACTCATTTGTGAGCTGGAAAAGCTCGCATATGAAAAGAATGGTGCCAGTACCGTGACTGGTATTCATAGCCGTCCATGGGGAGCCTGTAACATCCAGTCGAAGACGAAGATCACATTTTGCTTGATGCATAAAGAAGCTGAGGGATTGGAAGCCATGGGAACGTCCATCATGGAACGGGTGAAAAGTATTGCTTCTCTGCACGGGCTCGAAGTTGAAACCGATCGAACCGTGCATCTCTTGCCCGGCAACTTCTGGCCTGAAGCAATTGATTGCGTCAGACTTGCGTGCGGTGACAAGGGCATTGCTTCTCGAACCGGAACAGGCCATGACTCGACAATGACAACATTACTGTGTCCAACTGCCATGGTATTTGCCCGGGCTAAAGATGGTATCAGCCACTCTCCAAAGGAATGGACGTCTCAAGAGGACTGTGCGGAAAGCGCGCTGGTTCTCGGGAAGTCAGTACTTAATTTCGACAGTTACCTTAAGGAAAAGGCTTTGGAGAAGTAAGGAACAAATAAAGACTGTGGATGTTATGCCAATATAGTGTCAGAGCTACTTCCTGTATAGCCTAACGGGGTTAGACCTCTTGTTAGGAACTTTTGAACGTGACCTCGATGATGTGCTGGCAGGATATTGAGGAAGTTGATGCTACGGTTACTTTCCCGCCTGCGAGTCTGAAAGTCTATGCTTCGAGGCCACCAATCGTTGATGAGAGCACGAGAAGAACTACTAAATCTAAAGTACAGCCCTTGACTGCCGAAATGATCGTAGATAACTTGCCTGTCTGGCGGATTGGACCTCCCCAGGGCGACCAAATCGCGCGTGAGTCGCTACTCTACGCTGATTTGGAGCCATCACATACTACCCCGGGTACTGGATACTTGAGCAGTTCGTCAGTCAATTCTTTCTTCCAAACCTTGATTCTCGGAGGATGGGGTATGGACCCTGAAGACCTGATGGGGGTTGAAAATCAGTCGAGCTTCTTGGCCGCGACCCAGCATCTCTACCGGAGGTATGTGGCCTTGTATATCAACGCCAATATGCGCGGGACATACGCCGCTGGTGCTCGACCCCCTGTCTACAATGCCACTTTCTATAGCGGCACCAGGCATCGCCTGATACAGAACAACTCATCCAAGATTGCACTTCAAGACATTCTAGGAATAATGATCCTCTTCAGCCTCCTGGCATACGCGACATTGCCGATATGGAGCATCCAAAGATCGTTGCCTCACAACCCATGCACCATTGCCGGCATGATGAGCTTCCTCGCCGGAGACTCTGTCTGTTCCAGGGGTATTACTCCTGTAGGCGCACGATTTGGCATTGGTGTCCAGAACTCCGCTGGAGAGGCCAAATGAGGGCTGCTAATCCGTCTCGCCGTGTAAAGACTGTCCATTTAGACTTCTCCTTCACTTTTCAAGGCTTCTTGCGAGATTCCAGGCTCCATGCCCCCTATCCACCCCGTAAGATACAATAATGTTGCGCTTCGATCGAGTGCTGATCGGGCTCTATGATCGGATGGCGCAAGATTACTGCAGGAGAGTATCTCTCTCGTCTTCCGCCCCTATGAGATAACAAGACTTTATGTGTATTGGTATATGTATTCTGACCCCAAGCCTCTGCTAAAGAGCGGAGGAAATGGATTTCATATCGGTCAACTACTATCAAGAGCATATGTATACGTCAAGTAAAAGTGAGCAAGCTACTCTGGACTGAGATCAATTCGCCGGTAAAGCAGGGAATAAGCCATCAAGCCGAAGGACCTCCTCTGGTCGATGGGCAGATACTTCTTCAACAGCTGCAGCCAATTCAGCGAGGAGGTTCTCCACCAGGATTTGATCATGTTCACTCCCGACAACACCGACGTGCGTCTGCCCTCTCTGGACGAACGAGACGGCCTTCACAGGATGGGCCGCGTCGCCGTGTGGATTCTGGATCTCCACCCTGCAAGTCTCCCCCGCGAAGGGCATTGTGTCATAGTCTTCGAAATCCTGGTGGTGGACGACGGAATCGAAGAATAAGCGTGGTGGTGTCAGCAACGACGAGCCCGACGAAACCGACGAGGATGGTGGTTCTGGGGGCGACCATTGCGTATTACAGTTCTTGAAAATCTCCCCAAACCCAACAAAATCATAGGCAGCGGACTCGGCACTCTGCCTCTGCACGAAGCGCAAGAGGTCCATCGCCGTCCACCCCGCCTCGAACGGAACCCGCACCGGTGTGAACTGGTAGCATGGACCCATGACCTTATCCACATCGGGCACGTCCATGTTGCGGCCAGAGGTGATGCAGCCGAATGTCACGTCGTGTTGCTGCAGACGGCGGGCCAGGACCACCGCCCATGCCCCGGTCAGTAGGCTCGCTGTTGTGATCTCCGTGGGACGGCGGGAAGTTTCGACCGGTTTGGTCAGGAATATCGATCTTGTGTTCGCGTGCTGTGCTGACGTTCCCTCCAATATCGATAATTTGGAGTTGTCCAGAAGATTGCGCCAGTAATTCAGGGCCGGTTTCTTGACGCGTTCATCGCTAAGCCGGGCCATGTAGGCGGAGAACGGCCGGAAACCATCCACGGTTCCTCTTGCATATAGAGTTTCCAGGTCTCGAAGCAGCCTGGGCAAGGAGATACCATCGTATTGAGCATGGGATAGTCTTACAACGAGGCAGCTTTTGCCATCTGTACCTTGGACATGGAAAATCTTGAAGAAAGGCGATCCTAGGGGGAAATCCGATTCTACGTCTGTCTTGCAGAGTGCGACGACGTATTTTTCAAGATCTCCTTCGAATTGGTGCATGCTCAGGAGAGAGTCCAGCTTCTCCAGGACAATTTGAAAGAGCGACGACTCGTGCTCGATAAAGACTGTGCGGAGAATGTCGTGAATCGTGACCAGTTCGTTGCAGGCACGGATGAGGTTGTCGAGATTGATGCCCTGTTCAAAGTACAACATGGTGTATTGTATGGATGTTCGCGGGGTCTGGATTGTTGCCCTGACATCAATCGCTTGAGACTCGGTCACTGGCATTGCATCTTGAATGAACCAGCGTGGATTAGCTAGCTTTGGTCGCACAACGTCGGACAAGAACTGGCCTAAGTCGTCCACTCCGTCTAATATCGAGAAGGGCTTGTAATCCTGCGCCTTCTCCATGGACACTTGGTTCACTTTCAACGCTCTGGCGGCGTCGCGGAGCTTCATGTTTTGGAAGATGTCGGCCACTGTCAAAGTATGTCCCTGAACCCGAAGACTCGATGCCAATTTCATGGCCAGCACAGAGTCCCCTCCGAGCCGGAAGAAGTTGTCGTCCAGGTCAATCTTGTCGGGGCTCATTCTAAGTATCTTCGCCCAGGCAGACCGCACGATGTTCTCTGGGGTGGTCAAGCTTGCTTGGGTGGTGGTTTTCTTCCATACCTCCTTCAAGTTTTCCTGTAGGGTTGTGAGGACAGACCTAGGAATTCTGGATGCTATCTGGTTTAATTGGTTATGATCGACTCGTCCCGTCTCAGTCGGTATTTTGTCGACCACAATGTACGCAGAGGGAAGCATGTATGGTGGCAGGGAGTCGTGGATGAGTTTGTCAAGCTTTTTTAGGGCAATAGTAACGCTGGGGTGAATCGTATCATGGATCGTTAGGTGTGATCTGGATGGCCCGGGTGCATCGTAGGGTATGTCATGTTTCGCTGCCATGAGCGGAACATGCTCCTCCTGAGAGGGCTGTTGCTCGACGAAAACAACCAATTCAATCTCGGCCGAGTGCTGATCCCCGTCCAGTGGCGATTGGTATACAGCTGCCGCGGTGCGGGTTGTTGACGGAAGATGCTTGGCGAGATGAGCTTCGAGGTCTGCGATGTCTACTACGTGGCCTTGGATGGTCGAGCGATTCTCCTTTCGACCGACGAAAACGAGGCTGCCGTCGTCTTGTAGCTGGACCAAGTCACCGGTCGATTGCACTGTTCCGGATCGGCCAGCGCAAGTGGAGCTTCCAGCCAGAAGCCAGGTGGGAGACGAAGTGGTATCAGCTGTAAAGAAAGACCCTTCCAGCCAAAGCTCGCCAATACTGCCAATGGGCGACAAGAGGGACGGACTTTTTGGGTTACATACCCAAGGTACCACCGCAGGAGGATATATTGATCCTTGGTTGATACTTGCATCTGCTCGAAGCCTTCCGGATGAATTGTCCAAAGACAAGGGAGGAATTTTGTTCCAACGCCAGATCTGATCGAGCTCGGTTTCCGGTAGACAGGAAATTTCGTTTAGCTTTCGAAAGGGATCCTTCATCAGCTGCAAGCAAGCCGTCTCTAGCTGGGCGAGTACTCGTTTCATTTGTGCGACGTCAACTAGGCTGGTGTCGAAGCTCGCACAGATCCTCAAACTACCTTTTTGTGTTCCAAAGGCCAACATAAGTGGATAAGGGTTAAAATGCAGTGCTTCATGGACGACATCCGTCTGCCCAAAACCAAGTTCGGCGCCCACGTACTCTGGTTCTGGTTGGATGACCAGGCCCGTACCGGCTTCGCATGCGTGTTGAGCATCCCTGCTAACCTTTCTGATGTTTTGCATTCCGACATGTTGGTACTTTGTACGTACAAGTACGGCTTCTTGCACAGTTTGTAGGTAAGATTGCACAGAGCTCGTCCGGTTGATATGTATGCGCATTGGTAAAGTCGCGATCAATGGGCCTTCGATGTTTTCGACCCTCGCCAAAGGAATATCTCGACCTGTGAGCGTCTCGCCGAAAACGATGTCGTCGCTGCCTGTGTACTGTGACATCACGAGCGACCATGCACCGCGGATCAGTGTAGCTATTGTGAAAGTTGATCCAAGGGTTGCCTCCAGAGCAAATTGATGTTCTAGCATGCCGTTGGGGTTCGGCAAATAATCTCTAGAAGGCAGACGCGGGAATTGAGGTCCAACAGCTCCTTCCAATTCCTGCCGCCAGAACTCTTGAGCCTCGACTTCGTTCACGTCTCGCACATATCTGACAAAGTCCTTCATTTCAGCGCGTGGCTCGATTTTCTCATCCCGCAGGGCTTTGCTGACTTTCTGGAGTATCAGAGGCTCAGACCACCCATCGTAGACGACGTGATGGATGGTCCAGACCATGTATCGTTTGTCATCTTTTGAGTTGTCGACGATGGCATATCGAGCTAGATTTTGACCAAGTTCCATCTTCTCACTCTGGTCATCATCAAGATATTGCGCTAAATTAGTCGAATATCTCCAGACGATGCTTTCTCTTAACACAACTTGCTGCAAACCGGGATCTTGGAGTTGCACTAAGCGAGTGCGCAGCATAGGGCTCGCCGCGACAACCTCCTCCCAAGCCCTTTTCCAGGCATCAAGGCTGATTTGTGACGGTATACAAGTGACTCTCTGCGCGATATACGCTCGTCTTGATTTGAGGGAGAAGGTAAAAAGCGATTCTTGTGATGGTGTACAGGGGTAGATGTCTTCGACGGAGGCTGGATCTGTACCACACCATTGTGAAGCTTCGAGGCGGGCACTCTCGGCATCTTGGGAGATCATTGAAAAAGCTGGCGTTTCTGTCCGCGCTTGAGAGCTGCAGATTTGGACAGTGTCGGCCATCGCTAAGAGAGAAGGGCAGCGAAAAATGTTCGCCACTGTGATATCGAGACCTTGAGCTCTACAAACAGAGACAAGCTTCATTGCCATCAACGAGTCGCCGCCTAATGCAAAGAAATTGTCGTCAGGCCGAATGGTTTCGGGGTCAAGTTGCAATGTCTGACTCCAGGCCAGCCGCACAAGTTGTTCAAGATCGCTCAGCTGTCGAGGAGCGCTCTTAGTCGTACCTTGGTCTAGCTGTCGAAGATCGAATGTGGCACCGAACTGCCTCAGTCTTTTGCGATCGGTCTTGCCTGATATCATCACAGGAATGTAGTTGACCGGTATATATGAGGTTGGCACCATATATCGTGGCAGGACCTTGGCCAACTCCACATCGGCTGCTGACAGTATTTCCTGTAGATCCTTGTGGAGAGGTACCCACTGTAGATCGGTAGGCTCTTGTCCTCTCAAAGACTGAAATGCAATGAACGCCATCAGTGTAGGTTGACCTCCCGAGCCTGAAGGCACAATCACCTCAGCAACGACGTTGGTGCCCGGAGGGAGTCTAGCTTTGAGCTGGTACTCGATTTCTCCTAGCTCGACGCGTTGTCCGCGCAATTTGACCTGAGTATCCTTCCGCCCGATGAAGATAATACCACCAGAGCCATCGGGATCATATTTTCCAAGATCTCCAGTCTTGTATAGGCGACCTCGGCGACCTTCATAGCCATTATGGCCTGCGACGAGCCACGACGGGTCACTGATAAAAGCCGCTGCGGTTTTGTCGGGATCATTCAAGT